CAACTTGTGCCTTATCCGTCACATCGCACTTGTAGAAGGTCACGCCCCGCGCTTCGCCGTTCTCCATGTCATTTACGTCCAACACCGCCACGGTCGCGCCGCGCATGCCGTACACCTCGGCAATGAGGAGACCCAAGCCGCTGGCGCCACCCGTGATGACGATTACCTCCTCGGTGAGGTCAACCTCGCGTGGCAGGCCGTAGGCGATGCGCAGGTTGACCGCTTGCGCGATCCAGCAGACGGTGATGAAGCATGCCCAGGCGATGGACACGAGCATGGGCGGGGCATCCCAGCGGAGGGCTTGGGCGCGGAAGCAGAGGGGGATGATCCACGAGACGAAGGGGTGAAAGAAGGTGATTTTGAAGACCTTGACGAGGAGGTCGAGGGAGAGCGGCGCGAACCACGAGTCGCTTTGGGGTGGGCGTGGGTATTCCATCGCGGACGCTGGGGGAGGATGGCTGGTGGTAACGGTCGTGGTGGTGGTGCGAGGGGTCGAGCAGTGTAGGAGCTCTATGTCGTTTCGAGAGTTCGATTATTAAGAGAGATTGTATATGGGTAGCACTCCGTACAAATTCGAAAAATTAGGATGAGAGTATGAACAGAAGAGATTCGGAAAAAAGCGAAGATGTGTCGTCCAGCGTTGGAAGTGGAAAAAACGCACAAAGATGAGACGAAGAAGCGCACAGCCAAACCTCAATTGGGCAACCAAGGGAGCTTGACGCTCTGGCGGGAACTCGTCACATGTGGATGGACCTGAGGCGTTGAAACGGTGGCCAAGCGCCCTAGGGGCCTCTCCCTGGTGGCAGCTTCCCCTGGAAACCCCTGGTGGGACGACCACTAAAACGCCCCGGAGCCCCTGGCAGCCGCCCATCTTCCACGGCCAGACGAGCCGAGACCCCGCTCCCGTCAGCGCCGCCGTCAAGCTGTCTTAAGCTTATACGAGCCCGGCGGACATGTCGGTCACCCGAGAGGGCGCGGAGGGGAGGCCAGGGACGCAAGTTTGCATGCTTCAGCACGTACCTAATCATGATCAAATGAACGGAATTAATAAGCCTACTTCATGATTCTATTTCATGATCATTGCTACATTCTTTTGACCAAACGAATTGATCCGTGGTATAACCCTATCTAAGTTGCACTTTTCACACGACTATTCCCCCTTTTCCTTTTTACATGGACATAACAAGCCGCCCCAACGCCGAACAATGCAAAGGAATAACGCCAACAGTGGCAAGCCCAGAATGCGCCTACTTCTCCCGGGCCAAGATCTGCTTTTCTCTCTCGCCCTTCCGCCTCTCGAACTGCTTCTTGGTGTGCCTGCGCTCGTTCTCCTCACGCCTCTTGATCGACGAGAGCTCAATGTTCTTGATCTCGCCCGCCTTCTTGATAACCTTGGGCAGGTGACGGTGCTTCTTGATACGTCTGACCTCCGGCATGTGGCTGTATCGCTCAACCAAGGCCTCGTTGTACTCGAGCGCCTGTCTCTGCTTGGCGGATCGGATGCCTGATCTGTCCGTGGCGTTGCTTCTCCAGACACGGACGTTGCCGTCATCGGAACCACTGAGAACATACTTCGAATCGGGGGAGAACATGGTGCTGAACACCCTTTGCATGCGCTTGGTGTGGTACATGTCGCGAGAGTGTCCTTGGTCCCGGTTCCAGATGCGCACTGTTCGGTCGTAGGATCCGGAAACCAATTCTTCACCTGTCGGGCTGAACTCGACGCTCATGACGGCGGCGACGTGGCCCTTGAAGACGTTGAGCGCTCTGTCCATCTTGCGCATGTCGAACATCTGCTGCTTGTTAATCGCATGTTCAGGGGCAGTGCAATTTTCAGGTGACTTACGTAGCAGTTATGGTCTTCGCTACCAACGACAAAGTTGAAGGCTTCCATCGGGTTCCAGGCGAGAGAGTTGCAGGTAAACGTCATCGTCGTCTTGGTCAAGGGCATCGCAGTACGGACGTCCCAGAGGACGATACTCCTGTCGTCGCCTGTACTTCCTAGAACGGATTGCTCGACCTGGTTGAAGGAAACACAGTTGATGGAGTCGGTCGCGTTCGGCCAGCGCAGCACCTCGGGCGCCGCACTTTGTCGCTCGAGGTCGTAAATAGCGATCTCACTGGAGGAAGACGAGGCTGCAAAGGCGTTTCGCGTTCGGTGGTGGGACAAGCTGAGGAAACCATTCGTACCCAGCCATGAGGAAATCGGCGGAGAATCGCCAGGCGTGTTGTAGGGATCCCAGAGTTTGATGGTCTTGTCCGCCGCAGCACTCAGAAGCTTTCCGTCCTTCGTCCAGCAGAGACTCCGTACGATGTTGGAATGGGCGCTCTTCGTCTGCCAAATCTCGGCTCGGCTCGTCAGGTCGAAAGCTTTGATCACACCGTCGGCACTGGCCGATGCCATGTGCTTGAGAGAGTTCGGATCTTTGGCCATCGAGTAAACCTGGTTCAGTGGTTAGAAATCGGGGACAATAGGCGTTCTGCTTCTCGTTTTGGACGTACTCCTTCGACATGGCCGCTGCCCATCTGTCCGATGAAAGGTGCGGCATGCATGCGCTCGAGCTTGACAGCGTTCAGGGCTTTGGTGTACCTGTATTCCTTCGTCAGCTTGGATCGCAGCATGTGGCGAAGCCTACTTACTCTCTGGCGCGCTCCATAGGGTGCTGGGCGGGATCGAGGTTGCTGCATTGCGATTAGCCAAGGTCTGCGGATGCCACTGGCCTATAATTACCGAGGAAGCTTTTGCGCGTTTGCGCCTGGAGGCTGGTAGGCCTCCACGCTCCGAGAAATGGCCTTGATCTTCATGTTGGCGGGCGCGATGCTATGTCTTGCTTGACCATAGAATCCTCGATGGCTCTGAAAGTCTCACAGAACTTCTCTCCCAAAAATTTAAGTGGGGGTGGGGACTTATCGGAGGATAATTGCCAATCAGATAAGGTGGCGGATCAATCTCGGTCCGTGTGGCCCCTGCCCTTCAGCCCACCGAAGGTGCTGGCCGGCCGGGCTTGCTTGCGTCGGTCATGGCAACCTGGACCTGTCTGAAGGCGGCGGCTGGAGCTCTTGACACTGCACCAAGCTACCTGCAACCCACCACGAATCCGGCGATCTTTCTGCAAACCACCACTCAACAACACCGACGACACACGAGCTCAATTCAGCAATCCAATTCGAACCCACCATATCCGATTCGACGTCAAATCAATCAGTCAGGATGGCTCAGGGCGAATCGGCGAGAGTGCAGGAGGCACAGAAGGTGGCCAAGACAGATCCCAGAAAGGCAGAGCAGCTCTACAAGGAAATCATCTCTCAGCCCCCTTCCTCCGCAACCTCCGATGCTGCGGTAAAGGAGTACGAGACGGCGTTGCTTGGTTTGGGAGAGTTGTATCGGGATGAGAAGTGAGCCCCTCCTTGGTCCGGTGATGACATCGTGGGGGCCCCATGTTTGCTAACAACCCGCTTAGGAAGACGCAGGAGCTCGTCGACCTGATCACAAAAAGCCGGACAACCCTGTCTTCATTCGCCAAGGCAAAGACAGCAAAGCTCGGTATGGATTCAATTTGATGTTTTTCCAGCTGTGAAAGAACGGCGTGACTAACTAGGACCCCTCCAGTCCGCTCCCTGCTTGACCTCTTCGAGAAGATTGAGGGCAGTACCGATATCCAGATCGCAGTTACCAAGTCATGTATAGAATGGGCAACTTCAGAGCGCCGCAGCTTCCTGCGCCAGAACCTCGAGACCCGCCTGGTCGCTCTCCTTATGCAGAAGCAATCCTACTACGACGCACTCACACTCATCAACGGTCTCCTCCGCGAGCTCAAGCGCCTGGACGACAAGCTTGTCCTCGTCGAAGTCCAGCTCCTCGAGTCGCGTGTCTACCACGCCCTCGGCAACATCCCCAAAGCCCGCGCCGCCCTCACCAGCGCCCGCACGAGCGCCGCCTCCGTCTACACCCCGCCTCTTCTTCAAGCCCACCTCGACATGCAGAGCGGTATGCTCCACGCCGAAGACAAAGACTTCAACACCGCCTTCTCCTACTTCATCGAGGCCCTCGATGGCTACCACACCCAGGACGAGTCAGTCAAGGCCACTGCCGCCCTCCAGTACATGCTTCTGTGCAAGATCATGTTGAACTTGGCCGACGACGTCAACAACCTGATGACGTCCAAGCAGGCACAGAAGTACGCCAGCAAGAACCTCGAAGCTATGAAGGCCGTTGCCCGTGCGCACTCAAACCGGTCCTTGGAGGAGTACGAGCAGGCCCTTCAGTCTTACCGTGAGCAGCTCGGCAGCGACGCCTTCATCCGCAACCACCTGCGACGTCTGTACGACGCCATGTTGGAACAAAACCTTATCAAGGTCATCGAGCCGTTCTCCCGTGTCGAGATCAGCCACATCGCAAAGATGGTCGGCCTCGACACGCAACAGGTGGAGCGCAAGCTCTCTCAGATGATCCTGGACAAGGTCATCATCGGTGTGTTGGACCAGGGCGCGGGATGCCTCATCATCTTCGACGAGACTGAGCGCGACAGCGCATACGACCACGCCCTGGCTACGGTTGAGAAGCTGAGCAGCGTGGTGGATGTTCTCTACACCAACCAGGCCTCCATGCTCGAGTAGATGACAAAGGCTGGCGTCCAGGGTTGGCAAAGCGGAATGGATTTGGGACTGTACTATTACCATAGACACGAATGCCGGCGGTGCATGAGACAGAAATTCATTCTGATGAAGTGGTATCCTAACAGTTTTGCGGGCGAGGTGCCCGAGTGACCAATGAAGACAAGAAACAAAAATCAAACATAACGATGCCCTGTGACGCCCAGCCTCCCAAACCTCCCCCTTATAAACGTGGTGAGAGCTTGTATACACACTCATTAAGCATGAGACTGTCGTGAAAATCATATGCCCTGCAACACTAAGCAGGACACTTTCCCAAATTGAAAACGCCCAATATGCACACGCGCACTTCCCCAATCACAGTCATGAATATGCATGCACACCATTTACGAAAACCGAACCGAAGGAGCCTTGGGAGCCTTCCCCTGCCTCCTAAGCTCCTCCCCAACAATGAGCGAAAACACCCTCTTGGCGAGCGCCTCCTCGCTCCACACGCCCACCTCGGCCTGGAACGCGTCCACGACGTCGAGGTGCCACTGCTCCAGCTTCAAGCTGGCGCCGTGCGAGTTGACGGACCGGCCGAGTAGCCAGGCCGACTTGCTGGTGAAGTCGTCGGGGAACTCAAAGTCAAAGGGGCCCTCGCGGCGCAGCTGGATGATGTCGTCTAGGAGCAGCCAGTGGTCGCGCGACCACATTGTCTGCGACAGACGCTGGGGTTCTTGCTCTTCGACGAGTGCTGATTTTTGGACATCGTTCATTAATTGTGGTGCGTCGGTCATGGAGACATCCATGTCCCCGTTCATCTCCTCGTCTTCCTCAACAACGGTGGCTTCAGCACCAGCAACATCACCATTCTCCTTGTCTTCCTCCTCCATAATGGCAGCGATGCGCTGCTGCTGCTGTTGCTGCGCAGCAGCGGCGCTACCGCTAGAACTAGCAGACAACCGCCGCTCCGCGCGGACCTGGGCTTGCGCGAGGGGCGAGAGGACGCTGCTCGTGAACTCGACGACGCGGCCCGGCGTGCGGGGCTTCAGCGGGGATCGCAGGCACGACTTTGTTGGCGACATGTTCCTGTCGGGCAACGGCCGGAGGACGCGGGCGCGCTGCTCCGACTCGGACTCTGACACCGACTTGGACTCGGCTGCAGTGGGCGAGCTTTCTGCAATGGCGGAGGCACTACTCTCCTGCCACTTCTGGATGTCGGCGCGCGTGAGCTGCATCCGCACCGGTGTCAACGATGGCACCGGCGCCGCCGAGGGGGCCTTGCTGAAGAGGTTGTTCTGGGCGTTCTTTTGGGCCCCCACGTTGGGCGTAAAGTTCTTCTTCTGCGGTACAGAGGGGAACGATACCTCGTCGGACATGTTGGGCTGAGAGTCTGGGATCTCGGACCGGTGTCTGGTGCTACTGCGGAGGTTCGTTGACGCGAACAGCTCGCGACGGGTATCCATGACCGACTTCCCGAGTACTGACGGCTTGATAGCCGATACGGGATCCGAGTAGTCGTACGTGTCAGCGATAGACTTGGTCGCCGAAGGCTTGGCGGGCGAGAACAAATCCGAACGCCCGCTGGCGGAAGGGGCAAAAGCCTTCTGCGGGACAGATGGGAACATGGAGTTTGTCTCGAGGCCGGCATCAACCCGCTCAGGGCGCTGAGCAGCACCTTGGAGATTCAGTCGCTTCTTGTCCAAGACGTCCTTGACGCCCTCTGCTCCAGGTAGGAGATTGGGAGAAGAGAAGAAGGCAGCCAGATCCTTCTTGGCGGACGACCTCTGAGCAACCTCAAACGCCTTTTGAGGGATCTGCTTCTGACGGCTCTGTTGTTGAGAAAGCATCGAGAAGTCCTCGACTTCGCCGTCTGCAAAGTCTGACTTGCGGTTTCGTGACACCACCGGCGTGAACAGCGTCTGCTTGGGGGTAGGCTCGGCGGGTTTCTGCCAGGGACTAGGAAGAGCTGTGCGCCTGGGAGGGATAGACGGTGCTGATCGCTTCGCAAAAGACTGTTGACGGCCTCCATTCGAAGCCGGACGCGATGCTTCTACGGCCCAAATATCATCATCCTCCTCCTCATCTTCTGCTCCGGGTTGCTCTTCCTCGACTTCAGTGTCCTCGGCACGATCTGGACTAACGAGACTAATCTCAAAACTCTGTCGCCGACTGTGCATTGACCTAGAAGCTGTGTTCGTACTAGAATGGAAGGAGCGCGACTGGGCGAAGGGCTGCTCGCGTGGGGCAGGAGCCTCTTGCATCCAGCTCATCTCATCGGCTTCATCGCCTGGAGCGACTTGAAGCGATCCCGACATTGAGAACGAGACCTCGGGTTCTTCTCTGGCGGGAGACGTCCGCATACTCTTACTCAAGGCCTCCATAAAGCTGGGCTGGCCAGTGTGGTCGTTCTCGGGGCCGAATGGGTCATCAAACGGCTCTCCTGTTAATTGCGGCGCTAGGGGTTGAGGCTGAGGTTGTGCTGCGGCGCGGGTTGGGGAACCAAAGAATTGAGCTCCGGCCTGGATCAAGTTGGACAATGGCTGAGTCCAGCTGCGAGTCGATTTCGCGGCAGACTGAGGCTGACTGCTGCTTGTTGTAGGCCTGAAAGGGCTACCGAGAGAGTTCTGGCGGGGAGGCGATGAAGCATCAGACGTGACGCTCTGCAGAGCTCGTCCAGCCCTCACAATAGGAGATAGCGTAGGGCGAATTCCGTTGTCTGGTGATGCTGCGCGAGGCGCCAAGAGGTTGACATCGGGCGATGGAATTGGGGACGAGACAGGGGCAACGGGCGTGATATACTCATTAGAGGCCGCAGGAAGACCAACCGTCAGGTCCGGGACCGGAAGATCAGAGCTTGCTTCTTCGGGCAACTGAGAATACGCAGCTGTCGGCGAACTTAGGGCCGCTTCGATGGTCTTGGCGTCTGACTGAGGGACAGGAACTTCGGCGGGAGAGGGCGTATCGTCTGGTGTCGGCATTCTGGCTGAGTCTGATCGAGTGTAAGAAACACTCGCAATAGATGGGGCTGCGGACTTGGGTGAACTCTTACGAGCCTCTTCCTCTGCCTCTTCTGCCTCTTCAGCCTCGGCGTCCTCTTCCCCCTGATCTTCTTCTGGTGCCTCGTTCATAATTGTTTCTTCGTGTGCTTCATTCATGACGGTTTCTTCCTGTGCCTCGTTCATAACGGTCTCATCGTGTACTTCTTCCATCAAGGTCTCCTCGCGTGTCTGAGAGACGTCGACCTCTCGCCCAATCTCTTGCTCGATTTCGTGCTGCGTCTCAAGGTCATTGATTCCAGGCAGCTTCGGCCTCCCAGGCGTAGCAGCTTCCAAGTAGGCTTCCGGAATCTCAGAGAAGTCGTCTTCGTACATGACAGACATCTCCTCATTCACCATCGAGCTCCGCCGGGTGCTCTTAGCACCGGGTGTCGCTGCAGCCAAAACTCTTGAGGGTACGCTGGAAAACGAGTTGTCAATCTGCGAGGTGTCCATTCTCGATTCCTCCAGCCTCGAGTTCTCCGCATCCATCTGCTTGACCTTGGACTCCATAAGCTGTCTGCTAAGCGGGATAGACTTGCGTCGAGGACTGCTTCTAGCTCCGCCTGGCGACTGATACCCTCTGCTCGGTGACGTCTCCTTGAATGCGAGAGACGGAGGTGGGAGATCGGGACGAGGCAACGACGGAAGGGCGACTGGGGATTCGATTTCTTCAGCCTCTGTGGCCACGATTGGGTCCACATGCGCTTCATTCTCCTTCTGCAACTGAACCTCCTCCTCTTGAGCTGGAGGATTTTGTACTGGCGAGGATTGCTTGGCGGGGATACTTTCGATCTCATCCTCATCATCGTCAACATGCAGGGCACCGCTTCGCCTTAAAGTCTCGAGGGTCTGGTTGACGATCAAGCCAGTCTCTTCACCGACATCTTCTGAGCGAAGGTCATGCATGCTCATGTGGCCCCTCATGGAGGGAATAGAGTTGGCGAAAATCATACTAAAATCTTCGCCTTGAGCAACAGTATCCTGGTCGCGGAGTTCGTCATTGCCATCGTTGTCGCCAATGAGTGATGAAATGTCGCTAGGCGCACCCGGTGCGAAATCGTATTCGTTGTATGCGGGTTCGTTCTCAGACTCTGAATGAAGCTGTTCAGATGGTGTCGGGCTCTTATCTTGCATATAAGCTGGTGTCGGACTGAGGGCGATTGGGTTGTCTTGTGTTGATGCGCGCGGTGTTGCTTGGTCTGACATTGTTTGCATCCAGATATCTGGTTCGGATTCCGGCATCGGGTTCGTGGGGAGCTCTCGCCTTGGGGTAGGATCGTCTACAATCATGTCTTCCATGCTCGCTGCGAGACCGTCGTCAGAAGGCGCCACGCCATCAAGGTCGATATCGTCCTCGACCGTTTCCACAGGTTGATCGGAAAACTCAACGCGCTTTGGGCGGCCGCGACGCCGGGTTGTGCTGGGGGGTATCGTAGAGGGCGCCGGGTCTTGGGAAACTTCGCGCGGTGGACGACTGGTGGCCCGTCTGGGACGAGTTGTTGATCTCGGTGTGCCTTGAATGGTGATATCGGTTTCTAAGCCATCTGAATCGGTAATGGTCTTGACTCTGCGGGCTTGTCTTGGTGTCTTTCGTGGAGAAGCTGTGGCCCTCCTCTTCGTCGCCGTACCGGTCTTAGGCGTTCCGGCGGATTTGGGAGGTCGACCTCTCCGCGCGGGTGTCTTGACGGCCGTGTTCTTCCTATCACCGGCCAGAGGAACTGTTGTTGTGTATGCGCCGCGGCTAAGGGTGGGTGTGTCTGCGTTGAACAATCTGCGCCCAACATTCCCGACACCGACATTCTCGTAATCGCCCTCGGCTTCAACGGTCACTAGCAGCCGTTTCGGCTGACGGTCGTCGCCAACCTCGAGCTCAAACATTTGCTTTCTAGGCGAAGTGCTACTGCCGCCGAGGGAGAATAGACGTTGTGATCTCTGACTTCGAGTTACGCGACGTGATGAAGGGTAGAGGGCGGAGGAGACGGTGTCGTTGAGCGGGTCTGGCGACGAAAGCAGCTCGTCGCTACCGCCTCTAGGCCGTGGCGTCGCCATTTTGAGAAATACGGGAATGGCAAAAAGGACCAAAAAAAAAAAGGCCGCGCGCTATGTTTGTCGCATAGACTTTTCTACGAAAGAAAGAAGAAACGACGACGAAAAACTAGGCTCAATGGCCTTCGTGTGAAACCAGCAATAGAAATATGTCAAATTCTATGCATTGGATAAGTGTCGTCGCGAAGTGGTGTGGCCGTGTACATGCGAGCTGCAGTCTGCACAGAGGGACGGTCGGGCCTGGCCACTTGGGTTGTCAAATCTGTTTTGTTTACTTAGTCCCAGATTGGGCTTAGCTCGGCCCCTCGGTCGCGGGGGTCCCGTCCCGTCAGCTTCCAAGGCCATTGAGGTTGCGATGACAGGGGAACAACTTTTCCCCGCTGTTCCGATCAGTCCCGCTCTTCCAGGTGGCCCACCCAGATTCCCAGTCCGTGAAAAGATCCCTCGTCAGCTTCGTCGAGAAGAGTTAGCCGATGCGCCCTTGAATAAGTACGGACGCTGATGGTGGGTGCCTTTGATGCCCTTGCCTTATCTCAAGGAAGGAGGGTCACGAAGCTGTCAAAATCGGATTTTTTACCCTGGTCTATCAGGCAAATGCGATAGGCATTCTCTCCCTTGATGCTCGGCAGTACTTCCGTTTCTCCAAATGGACCTTGGCTGGCTTACATCCCAGCGGAACCGGTGCCGAGGCATTGCCGGGTAGAAATCACTAGGTACAATGTCTCCCGCCTTATACAACATTCCTGTTCATGATCATACTGCTACATGGCTCCGACTCTTCTGATGCTTTCCTTCTATTCAGATGTTGTATCAACTGTGTGCTTGATCATTAGAAAGAAACACCAGTAAGAAAAGAAGATGGGAAGCGTATTTTCTTCCCAAATGAAGCATATCTTCCCGGGCCCCGAAATAGCTCCGACCCCACGAGCTCCCGAAGGGACCCGGATTCCCAGGCCGTGCCAGGCATGCCTGAAAGTGGTGGTAATTGATGCTTGATTCCTCTAAGTCTAAACTGTGCCCCTGGTACGGTACTAAGTCCTTTTATTGATTATATAATAATACTGTACTGTGTGTGTGGGTGTGGGTGCTAGCTTCTTAGCCTAATTAATTTTATAATAACCTGACTTAGGTCGCCGCTCTTGACTAATATAGATGCCTTTTTTAGTACCCTTTTCCTTAGTAATATTTTGTTATAGCTATTAGTTAGGCGGTTTTATTATTATTTAGTACTTTAATTCCTTTATTAGCGTAGGTAATATATTTTTTAGTAGTACTCTGTTTTTATTAAAGAGGTTATGGATAGTAAGCGAGTTCTCGATTAGTTTTATAACTTAGAGTTAATATAGGTATATAGTATATATTTTAAAGTTTAAGACGTAGACTTTTTAGTATATTCTCTCGCGAGGTTTAGAAATATTTACGATTTAATAAGATATATTAAATATAATATTTATAATTTAGTATAGGCTTATTTATAATATATTAAACTTAAAGTTAAACTTACTATTCTTATTTTATTTTTTTTATATAAGGTTATTAATTTTAAAGGTTCTAATTAGGATCGTTTCTAAGTTTACTTTATTAATAATACGTATTAACTCTTTTATTATATTAAAATACTACTTTTTTTAATAATTTATATTCGTAGTAATAATCTAGCTTATTATAACGGGGTTTATATTAATATCTTCTTTATTTAGAATAATAACTAGTTCTGATACTCTATTGACTACTTTTAATAAGGCTTTTTACTTGTTATTATTTTTAGTAATATTTTATAAAGTATTTTTTTTGAGTTAGGTTTATAATAGTATAATAGATATAGATTAGATATATTGCGTATTAATAACTCTTGCGATATTTAGTATTTTATAGTATTATTATGCTCTTATTTCTTTTAGTTAGGATTATGCTTATTTTATTAATTATAGTTTTATTAAACGGACTATCCGCTCTATTTATTTAGTAGAGCGTGGGTAAGAAATAGGTCCGTGAATTAACTTAGTATTATAATGATTTATTATAGTAGTAAATAGCGCGTTTTTAAAATAAGATTTATTATTGTAGTATATTATTTTTAGCTAGTTTAAAATTGAGGAAATAATTCCGGATTACGTTTAGTATATTGTTTTAGTTAATACTTTTTTATATAATATGAATATTCTAAATTTTATAAAGTAGTTAATATTTATTAGTACGTATTTTGAACTGTTAACGGTTATTAGGGTAATTTTTTTTATAAAGTTTATAGTAATTATATTCTAGGGTTCTAAGATAGAGATCTTCCTTAGTAGTAATATTCATAATCGGGGTCTGTATACTTAATATATTTTATATAACTTAATATAGAGATTTACGTTTTACGTTCTTTTGGGCTAGTATGTCCTTCTCCTTAGGTAATAAGTTATAATTGTTATACTAAAATGTTTTTATTTATTATATGTATTATATAAACTTTTTATTATTTAATCTTTATTAATATATTAAGCTAGGCTTGCGTTTATCTTGTCCTTTTATAATTAGTAATCGTAGATTTAGTATTTTATTATTTTTATTTTTACGAGTTGTTTCTTATTCTTTAATAAATACTTAATTATTAGTGGTCTTATTAGGAGGAGTTTAATTATATTTTTATATTATTTTTTTAATTTTTATTTATTATAGAGCTTTATACGTATTTTTAGGATTTATTTTTTTATAAGCGCGGTGCGTATATTTTTAGAGCTTATAAGGATTGTTTATATTATATTTTATTTATAGCGTAAGGTTTTTAACGAGGGTTTATTATTCTCTGTATTTTTATTTTTAGCTTTTTAAAATTCCCTTAACTTAGGGGTTTTTTAGTTATGATATTATACTGTTTTTATAATTATACGGTTTCGTACTTTGGTTTCGAAAGCTAGCCTTTTTTTAATAGTTATTAGAGGGTTTTAAAGTTTATTATATAACCTACTTAGTCTATTTATTATTTTAATAATTTTTATAATATTCGGTTAATATATATATTTTATATCGTATTTTAAGAGTACCTTAATTTATTTTATAAGCTTTTTATAAATCTCTCTTTAATTTTATATATTTTACTTAATTAAATAGTAATTAGTATAAATAAGTATTAGGTATAGGCTAGCTCCGGTAAGCTATTAGTATTTTATTAATACCTGCATAATTATTAAAGTTTTTTTTTTTAGGACTAAGTAATGCCTCTCTTAATTTAATAATCTAAAGCTTATTTATATAATAATTATAGTTTTATTAAAGTTAGAGTTAGTAATCTTAGTCTTAATTTCGGTATTATTTAGGAGTTATAGTAGGACTATTTTTATAGTATAATTGCTTATATTTATTATAATATAAAACTAAGCTTTAGAGCTTATTCTGTAAGTTGCGTTATTTTAAATTATATTATATATTTTATTTAATATTTTTATTTATTCTGGTCCTTATAAAGGTATTTTTTATTTAACTTATTTTCTTTATATACTCCTCCTTTTCGTACTTATAGTTTTAGGGATATTTTTAAAAAATGCCCTCTTAATAATAGTTTCTAAATTTACTTACTTTAGGATATATTTATATATAAACGGTATTAGGTATAATAAGCCTCGTACCTCTTTTTACGTCCGAAGGGGCGTATTATTAAACTATTTTTTTTATATTATAAATTTATTATAATATCTTCCTAAGGGTCTAATCTTATTAGTATAAATCTCGAACCCTATAAATATTACGTAATTATTAAATAAGTATATCTTATTCCTATTTAAAGGGATTAGTACTTATATTATGTATAGGAAGTAATAATAATATAAGAAATAAAAATGTTTTTTAAAAGTCTCGCTTATAAAGTTATAATCGTTTATAAAAATAAATATTAATATTAATAAGTATAATAAGAATTTTATAATAAAAGGGAAATAATATCTGTTAATATTATAATATTTAAAAACTAAGTTTCTAAAGCGTGTATAAGTTAAAGGCGCGCCTTTTAATCCTTACGGTATTCCCTTATATTTTTATATATTATTAGGATTAATGATTAAAGTTTTATACTAATCTTTTTTACGGACCGGTATGCTCTAAAATCCGTTAGATACGTCCGTTTATAAGTAAACTCTTAGTTACTTATAAAAGATAGAGTCTATATCGATTTTTATATTATAATAGGGATACGTAGATTTAACTAATGCCTCGTTAATAGGCCTGAAATTGTAAATAATCCTTAGAACTCCTAGCTTAGTTATCTTTTTATTAAAAAGGGTATTTATAATTTATTTTAATTTATTATTAAGCTTTTAAATAATACCCGCTTCTTTTATACTTAGAAATGCTATTATTACGAATTATTTTTTAATACGGTTATACTTAAGTTATTTACGTATTTTTGCCCGTGCCTTTAGGAAGAGATTAATAGCGTATTCTATTAGTATTATCTTTTTAATCTTTATTAATATTTTAATAAAATAATATTTATAAATAAAATATAGTCGCTTTACTAAGTTCTTCTTTTCTTTAGTATTTATTATTACCCTAATCGTAATATTAGATATTTTAAACTATAAGTCTATTTTATATTATGGGGCTTAAAATAGCGCGCGAAAAGTATTAAAAAATCGGGATTTTAAGGGGTACCCTTAGAAAATCGGTTTTTTTATATAAATCTTAGGGCTTATAAATATTTATTTCTTAACTAGAGCTTTATTTACTTTAGTACGATTACTTTTACTATCTTTACTCGTTATTAATAATAATATTCTTATAATCGTTTTAGGGTCCGTATCTTTTTATAGGGAATACTACGTTATATTAGTATTATTACTATATTTATCCTTTATATCGGGTCCTATATTACTTTCCTCCTTAATATCTTCCTTTTTTTTAGTATTATATTTTCGCTCTAATACGACTATTAAGGAGTTATATTTACTATTAGTACTAGTTACTATTACTTATTATTATCGCTCTAATTAACTTTATATTATATTTACCTTTTCCTATTTTAA